AATGCACCTTTAAAAGTAGTGTGCATCCATGTTCACTAGACCCACAATGCTTTGCAAGAGTTCTCCCTGCAAAGCAACGTGAGGTTTGTTTTTGTGGCAAGAAAGAACAAAGATGCTGAAGGCATCGTGCGGGGAGCCGGAGTCACATTCACCAACTGTGAGGGAAATGTAGTGATCGTCTCTCCGAATGGTCAGCTTAACGAAGTTCACTACAATGTTCACTATATAGTCCCTGCTCTATATAGTGATAGGGATTTAGGGTTCCTTCCTGCTATGGCATTAAATCAATCCTTTTTTTTGCAAATACAAGTAAGAATGAATAACACCCTCTAGTGGACGACAGTAAAACTACAATACCAAAATGAATTGTTATTAGATAGACAATCAATCATAAGTTTATTATCTGTTTACATCTCCAATCGAAATTATTTGATTAATGCATTTATTGAAAAGTTGACATTTAATGAATTATTTTAGACTTGTGTTTAATATTTTAGTGGGAAATCTAATTATTCTAATCTATATTTTATTAAATAATAGTGTTTCTACAGTAATACTTGATTATTAGTAAAATGTATGATCTAAAGTGTAATATTAACATTTTTTTTGGCATCATGGAAATGATCTAGCGACCCTCCACTTACGAAATTTCACACACATTTTTTATGCATTTCAAATATATGTTTGTTTAGAAATGTTGTCAACAGAATCATTAATAGATTTGTAAAATAATGTATAGCTGCAGCCATAATCACATGTAACACCAACATGGCTCACTAATAATCAGAGGGATTTAAAAGTGTGATTTTACAAGTGTTTTTGTTGAGAAAAAATAAAAACACAGCAATATTTTGAAATGTGCAGTGATATTGCCAAAAAAGTAGCTGAAGGCAGTTCATTGTGATTCCAAAGCCAACATCAGCACAGCAAGGCTGTCAGCGCACCGGTTTTCTTCCCTGGCAACAGCTGCGACCCGACTTGCCTGTGACTGAGCCCTGGGCTCGTCTCGTCACCCTCAGACGGTCTGTCCCCGTCTGTTTGAGTGTTACTGGGTCCTTCTTCTCCTCCTGTGACCCTTAGATCCTCACGCTGCTGCAGACAAAACCCCCATGCTGTCGTCATGCTGAGCTGCAGGGGAGCAGCAAACCAGCATAAAAAGCATGGAGTGAATTTTGGTCCATTCTTTTTTATTTATTTTTTATTTTTTTCAAAGAGCACTTTGTTTTAAAGAAAAGATTCCAATTCAGAAATTAAATAAATAAAAAATTCTGAATCAAAAAGGCTCATGGAGTAAATTGGCTAATGCCACAGCAATATTTTGAAGTGTGCCGTGATATTGCCAAAACAGAAGCTGAAATCAGGTCAATGTGATTCCAAAACCCAGCACATATTTTTCAATTAAATATGAAAATAAGATTTCAAACAATTCTTTTAAAATTTCGATCTACAGTTTTTTTCTTCAAATTTCTATTTGCAAAATGTGTTCTTTACTCACAACTATAATGGATCAAAACTCACACCATACTTTGCTTGCAACAATGATTGAACAAATTTCACATCTTGCAGTTGACTATTCTGGAGAATGTGATCTGCAAGATGGAGTTGGAGATTGACAAAAGACTGTTAAAAAAATAAATAAATAAATAAAATAAATCTGCAAACAGCGGCGTAGGAAGCGGGGGGGACGGGGGGGGACATGTCCCCCCCAACATAAAAGCCAGGTGGATATGTCCCCCCCAAAAATTGTACCGCAAAATATTAGATTTTGACATTTTTTTAACTAGCGTGCTTTTATTTTGAAGGCGCAGCATAGCGTTACGTCACTGTACTCCCCCTCCCCTCTCTGAACTGCTGAGTGTTTGAGCACTCAGTCAGCAGGGAGGGAAACGGCGACACAGAAATCAGAAACTTGTGAATGAGGTAAAATAGTCTGTCGGGATGCTGCTATGAATATTGCCCATTTATAACGTTTTGTTTTTAGTTCACTTTCATATATAGAAACTGAATCTTTTTGGTTTAGTCATCTTAGTCTTGTACGGAAGAGGATTAGGGCCACTGAAAAAAAAAGTTAACTGATTTTTACATTTTTTTTTTAGTTTAACATGGGGAAAAAAGTCAGAATTCTGACTTTTCTCAGAATTCTGACTTTTTCCTTCTGACTTTTTTCTCAGAATTCTGACTTTTTTCTCAGAAATCTGACAGATGATTAATATTTCTAATCAATTTACAGTGTTTTTATTTTTTTTCGGGGGGGTACTTATACAGATACATAAAAACAAGTAGGTCTAACTAAAAAATAACCAGAATATATGTTTAGAGTAAAGATTGACTAGTGTTTACACAAGCACACAATTTCAAATCTGCTGAGCTTGCTGTGCAAGAAAATGTAAAATATACGTATAAAGAAATATAACAGGAAGTACTGCTAAAACATAAACTAAATGTTAAATAATGTAGATATTGGTTTAAAAAATTCTTCAGATTTGGAAATTTGGAAGGAATACATAATTTTGAAATTAATCAACAAATCTGGTAAAAAAACAACAACAAAAAGAAATAAAAAATAAAAGTTGCACTTTTTTACTTGAGGAATTTGTTGAATAACTTCATAATTATGAGTTTAACTAGTTGGAGGTAATGCTACACTTCTCTGCTTCCTGTCCTGCTCATAAAAGGTAAACATTATAAACCCACCATCCATTTTCTACATTATTTGGAAAACACAACACAAATGTAATATAACAAAAGTATGTTTAAAAACAAACATGTTAGCATCCAGCCATAGCCATGTCTGTTTTAGAGACTAGCTCTCTTCTGCTCCTCCATTAATGAGGGGACCCCACGGGCACGTAAAAAGTTGCCTAATTCCGTCATTTTCCACCAATGTGTCACTGGCCACCTCAAACAACTCACATCTTTGTCAGTGAAGCTGAGTGCTCCACATCTCTTCCTTCATGGTGACCATCTACATTAAGATCCAAAATTCTGAGATTAAAGTCAGAATTCTGAGAAAAAAAAGTCAGAATTCTGACCTTTTTCCCGTATTAAACTGAAATGAAATTTAAAAATCACTTAACTTTTTTTGTTTTTCCAGTGGCCCTAATCCTCTTCCGTAGTCTTGGGATGATCACTCATCCAATATTTAACTGCTAACTTTCTCTAGACGTTTGCTACGCTAGCCAAAATATTTTTTTTTTTTTATATATCTCATTTCAGTACAATGCCACCACCAACTAAAAGGCTTAAACAGCAGTAGGACTGACTCAGATTTTTTTTTAAAGAGAAACGTCAGTGTGAGTTACCGTCACCTAACACAACTTGTGTTGAAATTAGCCCGATCTGGGCGTGCGTTTAACGAGGATTTTTTTATTTTTTGCGTGGTTTTGATTCGCCGAAATTGACAGATGTTATACCTGCCGCGCTCCTGATCGTTAGTTAAAACCACAGGGAGAATTAATTTTAATTCTTAGCAGCGGCGGTCGCATTGGTTGTGCAGCAGTCCACTGCACAATCACTAATTAACCAACTAATTAACTTCTGCACCTTTATTTCCTCAAATAAACTGCTGGCTCCTCTTTTTAGACGATAAACAGATTAACACAACATTGACAACTCTGTAGTTTTCTCTGTTCTGTACTGCAAACTGGAATTAAAGGCGCCATTTCTACCAAAGGTCTTGACAGACTGGCCACCTGTCTAGGGTGGACCCCGCACCAGCACCTCCCGACCCCACTAAGGAACAGGGTGTACAGAAAATGGAAGGATGGATGGATTTCTACCAAAGGTTGATAATGCGTTTTTGAACCAGATGCTTCAAAGCGCCCTGTCCATAATTCTTCAACACACTGTCAGCTCCCTCTGTCAGTCAACCTATATAAATTCATTTTTGACCATTATTGCAAGTTTGACAAAATAAAACATATCAAACTTTGCACATGTGTGGCTTAGTGAATTGTTTTTAATCAAACTGAAATATTTGATTTTCTAGTGTGATGCGGACACTAAATATGCTAAGGGCTGAAGCCCTTGAAAGACATCTCCCTTTGCTTAATAAAAGACTCCAGTCATTTTGTTTGGTGATATGCTCACATCTTATGAACAAATGCATTATGTAAATTTTAAATGCATTATTTTTGCAAGACACATTTATAAAGGAATAAAGTAAAAGATTAAATAGCCTTTTTTTTAAGTAGCATACTTAAGATATGTTTCTGTTGAATACGAATCTCAGATTTCCGACATGTGTCCCCCCCAATAGTAAACATATTCCTACGCCCTTGTCTGCAAATATAAAATAGGCTGATGAACAAATACATTCAGCAAAAATAAAACATGAAAAACATTGATTAAAAAAGGATAATTTAAAAAAGTAAAATTTGGGAAAACAGCAAAGCTCTAAAAAGCTAAAAACATGTCATTTGTGGTTTGCTTTTTTTTTTTTTTTTTTGAAAATTTCAATTCACGGAAAAAGGTTCCTTGCAAAAATAATGAACAGAGTTCTCTCTATATGAAGGAAGTGACCTTGCGCAAAGAAACAAGCTGCAGTTGCTTGATGATAATAGTTTGTTCATCTTATCGTAACCTTCTTTAAAATCCCCATTGTGTTTTTTTTCTTCTATGACACAAGGTTGCTTAATCAGATATTAAGATGCTTAATTACTTTGTCATATTGAATAGAACAAGCCCTCATTGTTATTCTAATTAGCCGACATCAGCGCTGGAAGCTTCTAGTTGCAGCTGTGTGTCATTTCCTGCATCATTTACTAATTTATTTAAGCTGATTGTTGTAATTTCAACAGCAACATTGCAGGGATGTGAGCATGCTCTGTAAACACAGGAAATAGGGAGCTGTCAGATGTATGCATTTATCAGCATGTGCACATGGATGCTGAGAAAAAGGCCATGGTGACTGGCTCCCCCTGGTGGAGGATTATTCTTTTGCATTTCATTGCAGAATGCGTCAAGTCACCTCTCTACTGCTCCTCTCTGCATCCTTTCAGACCCATCAGGTGACTCGCAGGCAGACATGGCAGACGGCAGGCAGCCAGAGGACCACTTGACCGAGAACGGCCAGGAGCACGGCGAGAATGGCTACTCCTCCTACAGCTACAGGGAGAACGGCTACCATGGGGGAGCAGCTGCACAAGCTGGAGCAACAGGTGGGTGTCGACTGTGTGCTAAAGCATGTCCATACAGAGCAGTGACATTGATTGGAGCCAGATGAGCCTGCCTCTGTGGCAAAGGACAATCAATCCCCTTTAGGCACCTAAACTAATCCTGTTGGACCCAGTCTACTGCAGCTGTGGTTATACCAGGGTTCCTTTCTACAGAGTGTCAGGGTCAAACCTTCCCCCATGAAAATATGAAATATTTAAGTTCCATAGGGATGTATTAATTAGAGAACAGCATGAAGGATATAATGAAAGAGGAAAACAAAAAAGGACAGCAAATGAAGGAAAGACACAAGGAAGTAAAGATTAATGGAAGACTAAGGAAAAGAAACTAAGTTATGAAAAGTAGGAAGTGATAAATATGAGACACAAAATTGAAGGAAGGAAGGAAGGAAGGAAGGAAGGAAGGAAGGAAGGAAGGAAGGAAGGAAGTTTTATTTAAGGTTTTATTTGTAAGGAAGGAAGGAAGGAAGGAAGGAAGGAAGGAAGGAAGGAAGGAAGGTTTATTTAAGTTTTATTTGGAAGGAAGGAAGGAAGGAAGGAAGGAAGGAAGGAAGGAAGGAAGGAAGGAAGGAAGGAAGGAAGGAAGGAAGGAAGGTTTATTTAAGTTTTATTTGGAAGGAAGGAAGGAAGGAAGGAAGGAAGGAAGGAAGGAAGGAAGGTTTATTTAAGTTTTATTTGGAAGGAAGGAAGGAAGGAAGGAAGGAAGGAAGGAAGGAAGGAAGGAAGGAAGGAAGGAAGGAAGGAAGGAAGGAAGGAAGGAAGGAAGGAAGGAAGGAAGTTTTATTTAAGGTTTTATTTGTAAGGAAGGAAGGAAGGAAGGAAGGAAGGAAGGAAGGTTTATTTAAGTTTTATTTGGAAGGAAGGAAGGAAGGAAGGAAGGAAGGAAGGAAGGAAGGAAGGAAGGAAGGAAGGAAGGAAGGAAGGAAGGAAGGAAGGTTTATTTAAGTTTTATTTGGAAGGAAGGAAGGAAGGAAGGAAGGAAGGAAGGAAGGTTTATTTAAGTTTTATTTGGAAGGAAGGAAGGAAGGAAGGAAGGAAGGAAGGAAGGAAGGAAGGAAGGAAGGAAGGAAGGAAGGAAGGAAGGAAGGAAGGAAGGAAGGAAGGAAGAAAGGAAGGAAGGAAGGAAGGAAGGAAGGAAGGAAGGTTTATTTAAGTTTTATTTGGAAGGAAGGAAGGAAGGAAGGAGGGAAGGAAGGAAGGAAGGAAGGAAGGAAGGAAGGAAGGAAGGAAGGAAGGAAGGAAGGAAGGAAGGAAGGTTTATTTAAGTTTTATTTGGAAGGAAGGAAGGAAGGAAGGAAGGAAGGAAGGAAGGAAGGAAGGAAGGAAGGAAGGAAGGAAGGAAGGTTTATTTAAGTTTTATTTGGAAGGAAGGAAGGAAGGACGGAAGGAAGGAAGGTTTATTTAAGTTTTATTTGGAAGGAAGGAAGGAAGGTTTATTTAAGTTTTATGTATTTTAGTAAACTCTGTGATAAAATGAATGTACATAAAAATCATCTGAATCTGCAGTTACTACAAAACCTAGAGAGTTTTGTAGTAGGTGTAGGGGAAATGACAGAAAAATAAAGTTCTTTTTAACTCATTCTGGAGAGGTTTTGTCATTTTTGACAAACAATGTCTAATTCATAAAATCTTCTATTAAAAACTCACCTCAAACTCACTCACTGTAGATGAATAAATAATGTAAACATCAGTTCTCAACTAGAATCACATCCTGACTTTGACTTGGCCATTCACATTTCAGATTTTAAATCATGAATAAGTCTAATATGGAGAGGCTTTACTCTCGGCTCCACCATTTAGAGCTCCAGTTTAAGTTAGCCTGTCTTGTAAAACCTTAAGAGATAAATCCGTGAAGTGAAAGAAACGATGCTAATGAAGCCCACAAACTGTCCTGAGAGTGGCTGTATAATGCAGAGACAAGGTGAGCAGATTTACTCACATCACTTTTTCCATCCATGTCTCGTCTTCCCACTGTGTCCCCTCTTTCCCTCTCTCTCTCTACCTCTGCAGTGGATGACTCGGCCAACTTGCCTCCCTCCCCTCCCCCCTCTCCGTCCGCTGAGCAGACTGGGCCTGTGGCACAAGGTACATATTTCTGTACAAAACAGCCTGTTTCCAACCATGCAGGATGTGAAAGGTAGTGAAAAAGGCACAGATGTTCTCCACTGGTTCTCTACCACTTTATCTGGTTCTGCTCACAATTTGGTCCTTTTGACCAAATTTACTCCAACAATTTAATACTTGGAGTTATAATCCAATTAGAACCTTTTACTCTCCTTCTTCAAATCCTCTGGAGCCCACCAGTCTTTTAGTCAGCTTTACTTCGTCAACACCTCACTGTGTTTTCCTTTGTTCATTCCATCCATCAGTTTCTCCATTTTGTTGTCATTCATTTTGCCCCTCCACCAAACTGATGTCGGTACTAAATCAAGGTGCAATCGGCCTGAACAGGTAGGCAGGAACAGATTCAGTTTCCATAGAGACCCAAAGACTATAGTAGCTGAAACAAGCAGTTTTTAAAGGATCCAACATTAGTTGTAACAATAGACTATTGAAGAAATATTTATTTTCTATATAAATACAATACAGTAAAAGCCCTGTTTAGTTTTCCAATTTCAACATACAAAACGTGTTCTTTGCCACAAGTACAGAACAAAACTTACTTCATAAGCACATGGCTACATTTAATTCAGTTAGTCTCAATATCTTAACCTGGCATAGAGATGGATATGTGATGAAATCTAGGCAGTATCCATCTGGAAAGGCTCCAGTGGAAAGTTTTCGCAAAAGAGAGCAACGTTTCTTCAAGCTGGAACTATTTGTATGTGGCGTGTACGCTATCCACCATGATTCCAACGTTTTCCCGAATGAAAGCGTCTCTCCATGTAGAGTTGAGCAGCCATGACACCAAGCTCCCAAATACAAGCTCGTAATCGATATTGCGGACTTGTCTGCCTAGGCAGCAATTAATGTCCAGGTTTTCAGCTTGAGCCACTTGTCGCGACCGAGACAACAATAGCTACTTGATTTGTTTCATAACTAGCAGAGTTAACTAATTATTCCAACTCTTATCAGATCCGGTTGTAAGGAATGCGCAGACATCTCCTCCACAAAGGCAAAAATCGTGTCTTTTAGCTAGGTGTTTCACAAAGAAATAGAGGGTATTCCAGCTAAAACAGACTGAATAGCAGAGTCTAAATGAAAATCCAACAGTGCATCCATGTTTGTTTCGCTTTAGTCTACCACTTCTGGTTGAAGTCATACAGGTCACTGTGTTTTATTAGTTAGAAACATTTGAGGCTAATGAATCTATCGGTTTCTTACAAGATATATTTTTGTGAGTTTGTGAGGTGACAATTCATCGATGTATCAGCGTCTTGCTCTTAGGGGACAGGAGATACGGGTCCTCTGCTGCCCATCTTCTGTAAGGTTAAACCTGTAGTGTACCCGTAGATGATTGGACAGACTATAGAGACGGTTGTTTACAGAAAAAAATCACATACATTTATCTCCATAATCTCCATAATCCTTAAGCATTTCACACTAGTTTTGATGTCACCCATGTCTCATCTGTGTGTCTCCCTTTCCTCCTGCTCTAAGAGGAAAAAGTAGAGGTTGTCAGTCAAAAAGCACAACCGGAGGAAGTGGCATATGAACAACCTGGAGACTTCCAATTAAAGCAGACAGATTGTGTAAGGGAGCCCCAGGCTTTGGGCATCCAGAAGGTCCAAACTCCTGAGGCCATCAATGGAGGAGATCACCAAGGTGAACAGATCCCAACACAACAAGGTGTGTGTGGTTTTGGAAACAACTCGGGCGTTTGAACAATCTATTCTATCTGTGAAAATGTGTGACTGTGTGACTGCATTTGGCAAAACTGTGCATGAATCTCTCGAGCCCTATCTGCGATGGGTACGGAAGCTGTCCATGTTGGGTTTTATAAATTGTACTGCAGCTCAGGCTTTTTTTCCTGCTAAACTTTCCCTGCTGCTTTGTTGCTCTGAAATTTTGTGAGCTTCTGCTGCAGTTGGTTGAGTCGAATAATGACGTGACGTAGCATTTTGTGCTTTGTTTCATGCAAAACATAACCATTTGCTTCTATGAGCATATAATCAACCATATCATGGTTGATCATTTCTGCACCTTAGTATTGCCAGCTACATTGCAAACGCTAGTATTCACTGTCTAAATTGTCATTGTATTCTGTATATTTTTTCCTGTGGGTTTTGCTGAAATACTGTGATTGAAGAAGCTGCTGATTATGCCACGGATAAACGCTGAATGCATTCGAAGTCTGTTGTAAACCATTTGCTTGATACCTTGTAGTTGTCTTCATATCATCTCACAATAAATAATAAATGTGTTTTCCTATTGTTGCCTTGACAAATTTAATCTTTAAAATTCACTCTCATTGAATATTTAAAGTCATACTAATAAATATTTCACCCTCAACACACTTATGTTGATCGTCATTAACAAATAAGCAATACTACATTTATTCGTCATATTGCCTATTTCTTAGAAATCTGTTTTTTATTGCAATAGGAATTCAATAATTTGTTGTACCATTGTTTATTGTCATCTAACATCATGCAACTCATTCCTTCGTTCCAGCTCTGCACGCTATCGTAGACGCTGTGACCTCCCCTCCTGCTCTTGTGGCCTGGCACAAAATAAACTGTGCTATGTGTTTTTTTTTTTTTGCTTGATGGAGAGTATCTATGTGCTGAAAGCCTCAGCTTGACTGTATGAGGTGGCTTTTGTGGATGCTGCAGACAAAGGTTTCTTTTTTTGCTAACATGAGTCAACTCAGAGTTGTACAGCATCCTTTAAACTCACAGCTCAGCTGGCGGAGAAGAGCAAGGCATCTAGCGAGTCTGATGTGCAAGAAGGTGAATGTCCTGGAGCATCTGAAGAAGAACCTCCCTTAAGTACACTTCCCTTACCCAATACTTCAACTCAAGATCCTTCTGAAGTTTCTTCGGTTGAACATGATTATAAAGGGAAAGAAGATTTCGTAGAAGGATCCACAGATGGCTGCAAGCTTTTGGAGTGTGAAGCCAAGAACCAAACAATGGCAGAAGAAGTATCAAGTATTCAGATGGAAGATAATCCTGGAGTTATGTTACCCAATAAATCTCAAACCTCTTTGAATGAAACCATTGAAAAAATGGAGAAAGAGGAAGTAACGTATCAGAGCAACAAGCAAACTGACATTGAAAAAGGTGGGCTTGGTAGTGAAACAGTCCAGTTGACAGAAGGATTGGATAAAGACAAATACTGTGGATCAAAAACCTACTTCGAGACAACATCAGAAAGCTATTATGAACTCAATTTGACCTCAGAGACAATTTCAAGTGTAGAGCATGACAGATGTGTCGATAGCATTGAAGAACAAGAGAAGAAAAAAGTGAGAGCATTGCCAGGTAAAGCATCTTTAGACCAACGAAGACTGTCCTTGAACATTCCTGGAGGTTCTTCAACGGAAACAACCGTCAAAATTGACAAGTCAAGAAGATTCTCTGAAAGCTTGTGTCCAATAAGTGGAAGCTTTGATGGGTCAGAAGTTCCTCCTTTAACCCCGTTTGTTGAGGTGCACACATCGCAATTTCTGCCTGTTGTCTCCATAACGCCAACACCTACAACTTCCGACAGCATCCAAACAAAGGAAGGAGTTAATACTGAGGAGCATGGTTCCAGCTCTGAACAACCAGAAAGCTTGTCTGACATGTTAGACTTGGCCGGTTTCCCACTTCGTCCACTTCTACAGATGAAGGACCAAATGAGACGAAAATCAATGCCAGCCAGTGCGCTCCTTGGCAATAACTTTGACAAGCTTGGTTTATCAAAGCATATCTTGACAGAGGTGGAAGGGGAGAATCAACAAGAGGACATTGGCTACTGCGTGTTCAGTGAATATTCGGCACCCATGCCATCTCCTGCTGATGTACCAAGTCCTGGGGATTCTCACCACCAGCACTTTCCCTCTTTGGGTTCTGAAGAAGAGGCTGCAAATGTTTTGGAAATTGAAGCTGGTCATATTCAAATGCTAGACAAGAGTCTGACAGAAATAATCCAGACTTCTCAAAATCCTGTGTTGGAAAAGAAAGATCCACCAGTAAAGACTTCCTTGATTCTAGAGAAAGCTGTTACTAGTGGTATAAAACCAGATCGCTTACGAATCCCAATGACAACCTCTAAGGACCGCCTTACTGAACTCCGTCTGGAGACTGGCCTACCTGGAGACATTAAGATACAAGCAATCCCTGAAGTGGATGTTGAAAAGGACCCCTCTAGAGAGGCCTCACCCATCCCACCAGACAACTCATTTACTTTCACTTCTGCAGAAACTGGAAGAAGAGTTCCCCTGAGTCCTACCAGCCCTAGGTCCCCGGCTGATGGAAACCTAGAAAGCCAAAGTGGAAAGAGGCTTGAGAAAGTGCCTGACAACTCTTTAGAGGCCAAAATAATTGATGAAGAACTACAGTTGAGCAAAGATGTAAAAGACCCTGAGGTTAAAGGTCAAGAAGATAAAGCTGATAAACCAGAAGGAACTACAACAGCCAAGTCTCCAGCATCATTAGAACCTTTACAATATAATATGGAAGAAAAGCCTTCAAGAATAGGAGAGATAGAATCACAAACACCCTCAGGCAGTGCTCAACATTTTAGCCTTGCAGGTGACAAGAATCCACACATGCAATTACCAGAGGTAACTCTAACAAATGATTCCCCAAAGCCACAATTATCGTCTCCAATCATTGTAATACCTCAAGCCGAAGTAGACGAAGAAGACGATGACATTGAGATTGCGGAAGAGCCTCAAGAGATTATGGAAGAACCTGAGCAGATTCAGCATTCCAAGAGAGACACAACAGAGGAAAGTATCCCTGGTGAACCTGAAATAGAGGAGGAAAAGCAGGACCAAATGAGACTGATGGTCTGTAATAAGATGCTGGACGATGACCCCAAGTCTGGAGCTGAAGAATGGAGCCATAGTGCCCTGAATAGTGATGAAGGGGAGCCTGCGACAGATAGTTCGCACCTGTCTCCATGTTCTGACCACGACCTCCCACAGCAATCAAAGGAAGGTGATGAAGAGTATAAGGAAGAGGTGTTACCCATAGTAAAGCTGGAAGGGACAAAGGAAAAGGAAGGGGAACCAGATGATGGAAACAAGACAAAAGTGGCGGTTAAAGAAGACGATGTCAAACCCAATGTAGAGATTGGTGAAGAAGAGACCAGTTTAGTAACTAATGATGAAACCACAGTGGATGTGTCTATCCTGGATACAGACAGTGGCTGGACGGACCCTCAAGGTATCTTTTATCACTTCTATAATATTTTTAAAGGATATCATTATGTATCGTTAGAAAGATTATTTACCTTGGTGTAAGCTATTGCCTACTTAAAAGAAAAGTTTGGAGAATTAGTCCCTTTTTGATACTTTTTTGCTGCAGATGATGACAAAAGTATCATGACTGAGAAAATCGAAGCCCTTCCCCAGACCAAGGGTTTTGTCGCTGCACCTACGGCTGTGGATTACCCTGCTAAACGGTTCCCTGGCAAAGGAAGGGGCCACCTTGGCAAGGCTGAATGCAAAATGCCACGCAAAGCACCAACCTACCATCCACCAAAAGAGGAAATAATAAAGAAAAAAGGTTCTGATCCTGATTTGAAGAGTATTTTTGCAAGCCTGTTATTATTAAAATAACTTTATCTTAAACAAAGGTTTTGTGGAAGAAAAAGTGAGTTGTGCATGATGGTGTAATAATGTCTCTCCTCTTCGCCAGTAGGCGTGAGGAGGGTTGACCAAAGTAGGGGGTTAGGCCTCCAAAGTCGCTCTCCATCTCGAAAATGTGGAGCCAAAGGGGCACCCAGACATCCTAGGCCCGCTCCGCTTCACAGCTCGGCTAGGCGCAAGGTCCCAGGTGAACACCTTTCCCCAGGTATCTGCGCCGTGAATAGAGAGAGATCGTTTACCTAGTGTAGCATCAATAAAGAAACGGATCTCTCTTTATTTTTGGCTTATTGGGGAATCAAGCTGTGGCAATGTAGCTGGCAAACATGGTGTGCTGCTTAATCATTGTTTTTTTTTTTTTTTTTCACTGCCATAATTGCTTTCTTTTTTTTTTTTTTTTGTCAAAAGTGACTAAACTCACACATACTTTCCATCAAGATTATTTACTGCTGCTCAGAGTTGCTTTTTTCATGATTCTTGAATCTACTGCATATGAAGTATGTGGTTTAAAGGTGGCTTGCATGGTAAAAGACATTGATTTAAAAAAAAAACAAAAAAAAAACAACACTTTTTTGTTCATAACTCTATGGAATGAATTTTGTTCTATTATTGTTTCAAGCTGAGAACATGTTCTGGAAATGGAAAGTTTAAAAAAATTAATTTTGTTACTTGAATTTTTAAAAAAAGGTTTAAGGTTTGCTATTTTTTTCAGATTTTATTTCTACATTTTTTTTTTCCTTAAACATTTTTTATGCTAAAAAAATTGAATGCAGATTTTATATTTTCACATTTCTGTTTGTCAGATTGAATCTTAAAAATGACCTTCTTGGTCTGCATGGGTGTTAGCAACAGCACTACATCGGTCAATGTGCACATCAAGAGAGGGCGACTGAATTGGGCTTGAAATTAAGAGAATGTGTGATCTATGAAAATCAATATGAAAAGAAATCAAATAAAGCATTCACAACTTATGTACGGAGGCCTTAGTCTTTGACGTGGCCTGTTGTCCTTTGCCGCATGTCTCTCCCTCTCCCTTGTACCGCCTTTTCCTGTCAGACTACTGAATAATAAGGATCCAATAGTGCTGCAATAAAAAAACAAAAAAACAATGAAAATATAAAATCTGTAAAAAGAGGAACAAATAATAGAAAAACGAAATTAAACGTTTAAAAAACAGCGTTGAATTTTATTTTAGGTTGCCATTTACTGTTTTTTTGCAACAATCCTGGAACAAAATTCACTCCATATAAAACATGATAAAACAAATGCAGCTTGCTATTTTCTTTCTTTACTTTGGCGCTATGCATTCATTACATGCTGTGCTCTGTATATGTCGAGCTGTGCATATCAGACGATGACTCCCCCTGCTGGTAAATGTTGAGTATTTCTACTTTCCTCTCACAGGCATGGGGCACCATCAGCCTCTCAGCGTGGCGCAGCCTTCCAGGGAGAGACCCACTGTAAGTAATGTCAGTGTTGCTCAATCTACTGCATTTAGATACATCATATCCAACTATGTTAAGATATATAAGAAATTAATACCTGCAAAATGTAGAAAAATTAACAATTAGATGAAAAAAAGGACTTTAGCCCTTAACTAAACTGCATAGAAAAGTATTGTCTTAATAGCACGTAACTAAAAAATCATTATCCAGCTTTGTCAAGCAGGTTTGTTCATTTCTAACAGTGGACGTTTGGGTTGTTAAATGTATATAATAACATACAAATGATATTGAAAAAGACTGCAAACATCCCTTCAGTTCATGTCACTTAAACGATTCATCTCTACGCAGACCCAATCATATAAAATAAAATTAGTCCCAAAACAACCAAATCATATTTTTTTTTTTACTAGTTTACTAATTTATTTAAAACTAGGATAACAAGAAATGGGTTTGTGATTAAAAATAAGATTAAAAGGTCAGTGGGCTAGGACTCTTTTTGGACTATTTTTGATCTCTTTGTATTTTCTGTACTGAAACAGACAGAATATAAAGAGATATAGTTTTATTAGAAGGTTTGCGTGGAGTTATTAAAAAAAAGTTATTTGGACAGATGAATGTAAACTTTTATGAACTGGATCCGATTAATGTTTGGTGCAAACCAGAAAAACATTAAGGGAGTCATAACCTGGTATTTCAAATAAGCAGTCCTTGTTCAATTGTCTTTGAATTCATCTTAATAGTTATTGGAAGGAAAGAAGTTCATTCAGACCCCTTTTGCATTCCACAATAGTACATGCCAGACTTTGACTCAGCATTCTTGAACTTGAGCATTAAAAATGCATATAATTAACTTTATAAACCATAAATACATATATTAATATACATTTTTAATAATGAGCCAAAAACAAACCAGGAAATCCACCATTAACTGGCTGAGAAACTTTCAGTTTGTTGGTTATCAAAGAATCAAAACTCCATCATCTGTTATATTCTATTCCTCACTGATCTGTCTGTCACTTGATGTTTCCTCTCTGCAAAAATCTCTGCTCTTCTCCTCATTTTGTTTTCTTTCTGTCTGTGCGATCACATCGGCTTGCATGCTCGCCTTGTGTCTCTGTTTCTGTCTCGAAAGAGAAAATCTGTGAGTAAAGATTTATTTTTTAGGAAGGAAACTGTTTTTTCATTCAAGGCCATTACACTCATCTTTTGATCATCACTTTTCCTTTTTTCCACTTTATCTTTTCCTATTTATGTGTTTTTTTTTTTTCCATCTGTCGATCGCTTCCTCCTTGCTCCATCCTGCATGCCTCCTTCCACCTCCAGAGCCCTACCAGGGCTGTTCTGTTAAAGATGGCAGTGCAGCGGGGTGGGGGATCCCCCCGGCCGAGCTCCGCCTGCAGCCTTAAACGGCGCCCCCTTGTGGAGGCGATGCTTTGGGAAGCTCGCCCTTCCTCTGCCGGCTCCCGCCCACCCCCTCCATCTAATAAATGGGTAAATTAGAGAGTAAAGAGAGGGGCCCGAGCTGTAGATGTAGGTAACTCCTTCGATGGGAGCTAGATTACTGACTCTGATGTTTCTGTTGATTCAGGAGAGAACGTACCGCAGCCCTGAGAAGAGGTCATCCCTCCCCAGGCCGGCCAAGTCTCTGACTCGCCACATTCCTGCTGCTGAACAGGAGGACAGCACCCCCTCAAGGCCAACTTGTAAGACTACACTCCCTAAAATTGACTTATAGCTTATGGAGTGAATTATGTTCCATTATTATTGCTAGCAGAGAACATGTTTTGTAAATGGAGTATAAATATAAAAAATAAAAATATTTCAGAAATGACATTTTTTTTAATCCTTTTTATTCTATATTGGTTTACGAAGTTGAAATTTCGTTTTTGTTTTATTTTTTGTTTACAGATTACTTTTTATTTCTTTTTCCGAGTTAGCTGTACAAATAGCAACAATTTTCATTTCTTTTTTTTATTTTATTCAATTTTAGACATGTGTTTTTTGTAAAATAAAAAACTTTAAAAAAAGGAAATCTAAAATATATATATATTTTTTAGGGGAAAAAAAATCTTTGATTAGTTTGATTAAAACACTATTTAAAGTCTTCAATCTGGGCTATATGGATTGCATTTTTATATTTTTATTTTTACAATTTTTATCTACAAAAATGGGTTCCTTGCTTGCAGCAATAATGGAACAAAATTTACTCCATAAAAACCCTGCTCACGTAAGGATTAATTAAACCCTTCCTTTCTAACCTCCCGCTTTGCTATTTTTACCCTTTAAATTGCCTTTTCTCTCCTAAAGCGATCCGAACCGACTCCAGAGGAGACAGCAGGTCCGGAAGAACCCCTAGTATGGCAGGTAGAGCACCCCGTAGTTCCTCTAAGGCTTTCCCTCACCTAAACTGAACTTTGAATCTTTTTTACATCAGATAGAGAACAGGTTTGTTTATTCAGTTTTGTGACTCAGTCAGGGCTGCAGCTGCCAGAAGAACAGGTGGGATCCAAACCAACAGGTGTGCGACTTCTGTGCTACAACCCGCCTGTTTTTTTTGTCCCTCTGGTAACCTGGCAACGAGCTGCTGACAGATAAAGATCATGGTCTACCTCTGCGTAGCCGCTTACTGTTTAAATATTCCTGTTTGACCCGGGGTTGTTTGTTCTATGAAACCTGAACATACATGGTTCCGTGTTTAGACAATTAAACCAATACTAAACAAAGTCAGCATATAAGATTTTTCGTCACTAACCATAAAATGAATTACACAAACAAACATAATATATAAATTCTCTTTTTATTTAGGGGCAAAATATTTTTTTATTTAAAATGAAAAAAAAAAGATCTGCCTGAATGTACACTAACCTAGTACATAGCCAAAACAAATATAGATAACAATTTGTCTCCATTTTGCTACCGTAATCAAAGATGGCGTCCTAATATGGAGTCTTTCAGGCGGTATTTGAAAGTGCAAGATGAAAAAGAACATTAAAATGGGAAAATTTAATAAGGAGACAATATTTATAATTAGATTTTTAAATTGAGGTTTTTAAATCTCAATTTGGAAATACGAAGATTAAGATTTAATGGATTTTAATTTAGCTGTGTCTGATAATGAATTAAAAATATTCAATTTACAATTTCTTTATTGTAATTTAAATGGTAATATGCGATTACAAAACACTTTTCTAATTGTTTTTCCAATTCTATGATTTAAAGGTTAATTTTATTTTTTTATGTCTCTTCTGGGCCTCCGTACACCTGTGTCCAACTATACAAACAGCGGAAGTGCTTCAGTTCCTTACCTTTAAAAGCAGCTTAGAAGTTAGCAGGTGAACCTTTCACCACCCAACCTCCAATATGACATTTTTTGAAAACTTGGCCCCAGTTTTAACTGTTGTTGCCTTGACAACGTTTTTCTTGATAGAAGCCAATGTTCTCTCAGGTTTAAGAACCACAGGTGTTTTACTGTACGAGTTAACAGTACACCCTCAATGCAAATCAGTTGGTGCCTTTTTCTTTAAGGCACAGATTCGGCGCGGTCCCGCTCAGTCCGCAGTGGGGCCTCCACCCCTGGCTCTGCCGTCACACCGGGTACTCCGCCTAGCTACACCTGCCGCACCCCGGGCTCTCGAACCCCTGGCAGCCACACGCCCAAGTCTTTCAGCGTCCTCCAGGAGAAGAAGGTGGCGGTGATCCGGACCCCGCCTAAGTCTCCTTCGTCGGTTCAGCGGCAGCTGAAGGTCATCAACCAGCCTCTTCCTGACCTGAAGAATGTAAAATCCAAGGTCGGGTCAACGGCCAATCTCAAGCATCAGCCAAAAGGAGGACAGGTATATAGATAGGATGGTGGTGTTAAGGTCTTTTTCTAATTATTCAGTGGCATTATAGGGTTCTAAATACAACCATTTGTTTTTTTTCAAGTAATTTTTTGATTCCCACCAAGAGATCTGCAACAAGGATTTGCTATCCATCATATATGGTTTTTAATATGTTTTCTATCTCTTTTATTTACTTATAAACTAAAAAATAAAATTAAAAGCACTCTTATATTGGTTAGATTTCTCTTACTATAAATCTTAGTTTTAGGTTTTACCAAATCCTGCCACATGAGGGCGGTAACGTACCATGTTTTGCTCCAAGCGTTTAATGGAAAATAATGTAATTTACCATAAAAAAGGTTAGCCAGCAGATTTGTTTTTACATTTTTGTAGAATTTATTTAATTATTTGATGTGTCATCCTTTTAATCAACACATTTTTTTAGCGGCTTCTCAATTTAGAAGCATCTGGAAGAACTTTGATGCCAAAAAGGCCTTTATAATTAATAAATGAATTTAGAGTGAAGGTTTTTCTTAGGGTTCTTATTACCCCGTTTGATTCGTGCAGATGTCATATGTCTAGTCTCAGTTGCTGTCTGGCCTCCCTCTGCAGTCCTGCTTCGCTGTCCTGTGCTCTGTCCGCTGCCATCTCTGTCTTCTGCTGCCTCAGGCTTCGTCTCTGCTTCTTTTTTTTTATCTCTTCATTTCTGTCTCACTGCAGTAGCAGCAGCTACTACATCCAACACAAAGAGAATTCAAAGCATCCATGTATCTGAGAAGATCCTATTTAATTTTTGTTCCTATGCTCCATGGAGCATTAACAGAATGGCGAAAATTTGGGAGCTTCTGTCGTCACTGATGCCAAGGATTTATCCCCTTCTGCTCTAAACCCCTCGAGAGTGACCCAGGGGATGAAGAAGGACTTCATTTAACCTCTACATGTTTTAGCGTTAAAAAATATAAACATCTGCTTTGAAGCGTTTACTCCAAGCACTCTGAATCTTTAAAGTGTGTTTTTGCGGCGATCAGATGCTTTTCGTTGGGATTTTTGGCCGATTTAACTGATTCTAGGCTAATTTGCTCCACACTTTTTCACACGATTAGCTTTGCTCGAAAAATGCTTTTTTTAAGATCTTATTTAGATTATTTTTTTATATATATAAATTTTTTTAATTAGATTTTCTATTATTGTATTTTTTCAATCCATTTTATATGTAGAATTTGGCTTTTTCAAACTGTTTTTGACTGATTGCATTCTTTTGAAGTTGCGTTTTTCGGATCTTTATTCCTGGAGCGAAAATCCATGTCTATCGGTCCGCTGAAGGTTAGCAACGACGCTTTTATTGGTCAATATGCGCTTCAAGAGCTAAACTTTCTCACTGGGTTTGAGAATTTGAGTTCATTTGAGTTTCAGTTTGTGAAAATGTGTTTTTATAAACATTTAACTGTCAGCTGTAGCGAACGATTTGCTTGGACGCTCTGGAAAAACGAATAAAAGGAGTTAAAGGATGTGTCGGCGCACAAAAGCAACACCAAAGTTGTTCAATGATAGATGAATAAGTTTATTGTGATATATGATGCTTTTCAGCCCCGCCTTCTTATATCAACCTGGGCATCCACCCTCTGTATTATCATAAGCAGTTAAAGAAGGTTCAACCCTTGATCAACTCTTCTGTTGCTTTACTTTTTCATTATTTCTCATCTAAAATTTTTAAAACGAAACACCAACCGCCTCAGATACGACCTAAATCTTTAAGTTACCCATTTTTTTTATTTATTTATTTTATTTTTATCATCATCGTTTCCATATCAATTTTATTTTAGGTTCAGATTTTAAGTGAGAAGCTGGACTTCACTCATGTTCAGTCAAAGTGCGGCTCCAAGGACAATCTGAAGTACACGCCAAAAGGAGGCAATGTATGTAATCACTTCTCTTCTCTTCTCTCTCTTTCACTTTTTTCTCGCTTTTTTTCCTAGCTTTATTGCTTCGACATCCTGCTTTTATGTGTGTCTATCTGTTTTGTCTGTCATCTAATACAACATATGAATTAATTTCAGTGCAAACTTGCAGAACTTTTGCTGTTTAGGAGAATTTTCTAACAAAAACATTCAAATGAGACTTTAAAAGGACTATTTTGGGTAAAAAAAGCAGAAATGTGCTCTAGAACCTCTCAATTTTTTTTGTTCTTTGTGTTTAAAATCTAAAACAAAAAAAGAAAAGTCAACCTGTTATTTTATAGGTCATGATTCCAAGCGTTAAGCTGGACTTTAGCCACGTTCAGTCTAAATGTGGCTCCCTGGATAAGGTCCACCACTCGGCAGGCGGGGGAAACGTGAGTGACTCTGCGCAAAGTTCATCCCCCAAAGAACAAACCTCCCGTCATCACGATAAACGTCCAGGGCATGTCTATAACGTGTAGTTGTGGTGTTATTTTTTTTTTTTTTGTGATTTGTGCCACGGAGGTTAAATCCATAAATCACTCATTCTTATGAAAAAGGTGAAGAAACATCCCTTTAGCATGCAGGGTTGTCCGCTTTAAACTTGTTTCCACTTTGACCTCTCTCTGGGGAAGTGATGTCATCAATCCGAGTTGTCATAAACTCACAAATCCATGTTGTGATTTGTGCCCCTCCCCTCCCTCCCTGTTCTACACTAAGCTATATATTGTCTATTCACTGCATTTCATATGAATAAACAAGTAAAGTCAGCGTTAAGCATTAAGTCCGGCCCCTTGCCTCTTCTTACAGGTTCACATCCAGACCAAGAAGATCGACTTGAGCCATGTCACCTCCAAATGTGGCTCCATGTCCAACATTCATCACAGACCAGGTGACTCACAGTGTGCTTTAATCGGCAGCTCTTAATTAGTTAAAAAAGGGAAAATCAAACCTTTGGAGTTCCACAAGGATATGTCTGTGGGACTTTTTTTTCTCCACATTGTGATTGAGTGAAATTTGAAAAAATGATGCATTCCAGAAATGAAACTTTGAGAAACAGTTTAATCAAACAAGGATAACTTTGCTGTTTGCTTTTTTTTAATGCAAAATTGAAGTTGTTTTTCAGATCTTTTTTTTGTATTTGATATTTTTTTCTAAATCTTAATACAAATTTAAAATTTCCAATAACATTTTCTTTCAAAATGTTATTTAACAGATGCAAGATTTTGATTTTTTTATTTTGCTTTACAAATACTTTGCAATTCAAACACCTCCTGTTGACCAATACATTTTTTTTTTTGCCAAGATCCTTAAAGAAATGCCTCTTGAGTCTGCAAGAAAAAAACAAAACTGAAAGAATTTTTTTTATCCTGAGATCTAGTTGTTGCGGAGCCCCCTAGGGGACATTTCTTTTGCGTTCCCTCGCAAAAGTATTGCGTTACCTCGCAAAATTTTGCGTTACCTCGCAAAACCTTTTGCGTTACCTCGCAAAACCTTTTTCACAGATTCGGACTTCCGGGATCAATAACTCTCGTTGTTGAAACACAAATGGCGCCTCTTTCATGTCCTGATAGCACAGACTATGTATTACAAGAATCAAAAAGCGTTATTTTCGAGAAAAACGAGCCGTTCTCCGAGCTGGATATATTTCATTGATCTCTATGCACAGGCAGCGGGCAGGCGAGTGGTTAGGGACCGTCTGCAAATGGTAAAACAACAGAAAAACGTTACAAATAAAAATCAATAACTCCACTGCCATAAAGTCCAGAGACTCCAAAATCACCACACACACCAAGGGGCTCTTGGTGATTGCACTACAACAGCTGGTTTGGGAAAATACACCTTTACTTATTTTTTTTAGAATTTTTTTGTTATTATTAAGAATTAATATCATCCTATTTTACTTCATAAAGAACTCCCATCTGCCTAGCATCTCTGTGTACTTCATTCACAAAAAGTTATAAAAAGGTGTATTTTTCCAAACCAGCTGTTGTAGTGCGATCACCAAGAGCCCCTTGGTGTGTGTGGTGATTTTGGAGTCTCTGCACTTTATGGCAGTGGAGTTATTGATTTTTATTTGAAACGTTTTGCTGTTGTTTTACGATTTGCAGACGGTCCCTAACCACTCGCCTGGCCGCTGCCTGTGCATAGAGATCAATGTAATACCTCCAGCTCGGAGAACGGCTAATTTTTCTAGAAAATAATGCTTTTTGATTCTTGTAATACGTAGTCTGTGCTATCAGGACATGAAAGAGGCGCCATTTGTGTTTCAACAACGAGAGTTATTGATCCCGAAGTCCGAATCTATGAATATCATTCTAACTTTACCGAAGTAAGGTTTTGCGTTCTCACGCAAAAGGTTTTGCGAGGTAACGCAAAAGTTTTTGCGAGGTAACGCAAAAGGTTTTGAGAGGTAACGCAAAAGTTTTTGCGAGGTAACGCATAAGGTTTTGAGAGGTAACGCAAAAGGTTTTGAGAGGTAACACAATACTTTTGCGAGGTAACGCAAAAGGTTTTGAGAGGTAACACAATACTTTTGCCAGGGAACGCAAAAGTTTTTCCGAGGTAACGCAATACTTTTGCCAGGGAACGCAAAAGTTTTTGTGAGGTAACGCAATACTTTTGCGAGGGAACGCAAAAGAAAAAAAAATTCCCCATGTCCTCTAGGGGGCTCCGTAAGTTGTTCCTCTAATTTCATTTGAAATATTTCGTTTCATATGAAAACACATGTACAGTAGCTTTTTTCGGGTGTCTTAGTTGTGCTCTATGTAAGTGTCCAGATTAATTCAGTTCAGTTGGATTAAAAAATACTTTATTCAACCAAACATCTTAAGCATCCTGGGTTTGCCTTTTAAGAGTGTTAAATAGAACCCAGAGGGAACAGGGCTTAAAACTGCCAAATAAAAGATGAAAGAGTCTAATTTATTATTTAATAGTGATATTTTAGTCGTTCCAACCCTTCAGGGTTTAACATAAGTTGTACAAACAATCATTAGCTTAACAGCCACCAATTTTATGTGTAAAGCCTATATTTCTCATCATAAACAGCTCAGTCAGGTATTTAATGACACTGTTTCCATCGAGCCTTGTTTTGTAGAAGAGTATCCTGTATTTGCTTTGGGATTTCTTCTGAGTTTCAGCCTCAGAGGAAGCTTGGCCCACTCTGTGTTAAGGCCCTCACGGGTTTCTTTTGTTTCCGCCTCTCGCTGTTGTTTTCCCAGGGGGAGGACATGTCCGTATTGAGAGCGTGAAGCTGGATTTCAAAGATAAGGCCCATGCCAAGGTCTGCTCCCTGGATAACACCAGCCACGTTCCCGGGGGAGGGAACATCATGGTAAAAACAGAAAAATATATTTTTTTCTATATTTATTTTAGTTATACAATAATAATAATAATAAAGAGCTGTCAGGTTAAGATTTTTATAAGAGGATCATGAATATTATTATTATTTGAGAGGATATATGAAAGGAGGGTTCACCGGGTCTGAAAAGGTCATTTAGACGACACCTTGGGACAAAGAAAATAGGTGAGCAGTGAGGGATGGAGGAGGTTACTGTAGGTCAAATGAGAAAGGAAGAAAAAAGCCACAATGAAGGGATAAAGGTTGATTTATTGCTCACAGGTCTGCGACGTCCCCATAAAGTTAGATGGTCCATATAGCAAAAGCAACCTTTTGTGGGGCTTTTTTTTGCAGCACTACAAAATTGCGTAACTACAATGTTTGCAAATATAAACATCTTGAGACATCATTTGATTTAGACTGTAAATATCAACACCGTGAACAGATAGTAAAATAAAAACTCCTTGAAAGAAATTATTTGCACTCTTTGATGACGTAAAAATGTAGGAAACAACTTTGTTTTCTACTTCTGTATGTAAGGTGGCATTATAACCTCTGGTCTGTGCTGTAGCGCCCCCCCTGGAGAACATTAGGGTACAAGAGGAATTGTCTGTCCAGAACATATGCGTCAAAAATAACCGAGTCTTAAAACATACATTAACTTAAAAAGTCTAAAATTGCCAGCGTTAAATATTTGATTTTATATTATGGTTTATTTCAGTTTTTACCACATGTTGGCGGAAAAACAAAAAACGCTTTTATTCCTTCTGTATTCTAGAAGCAGGAAATCCCCAAGTGCCTGACTGGATTAGAGACAGCTGTCACTGGGGTTTTCCAGGCCAACTGTCACTGATCTCTATTTATATGTATTGCTGATGGACCCAAAAAAACTGAAGTCACCTGCCGCCATCTTGGTACTCCCCACTTTGACGGAGTTGGACAATAAAAATGCTTTTAATGTAAATACCATAAAAAATATATGTACATGTATATACATGTATATCACCAATTGAGCCGTTTTTGCACTTCACCAGATAGTGTGGGTGTGTGTAATATTCTTAATAACAGGTACAGTATTATTATGCACACATTTCCTTGTGATGAATCAGTATAATATGTTATATTACATGATTTATAGACTTCATAGCTTTCATACTGAATATGCAATGTGATTTGCCTATTTTTTTTTACCATAAATTACAGTAACCTACTGATGCTATAAAACAGCAAGTCTGTGTCAAAGTGATGAATTTATCTTTGTTTTAAAAGTCTTTGGCCCCCTGAAAATGAGAACATCATCGTTGTTCGATGCTGTAGGGCACGTATTAGTTTCATTCCGACCGGTCTAATTAGGGAGTACTAATATGGTGGCTGGCGACTACACAGCCTTGTGTACTAACAACGGCCTATCAGCAGTCCAGTGAATAAATAGAGATCAGTGGCTACTGCCCACCGGTATGCAGAGCTCTTTCGCTCAGAAAAACTGCAACAGAATATTCAAACGCAGGATCATAGTCCTGACAAACTAGCATGGACGACATTGTGAGGTATACTTTCTTGTTTAATAACCTCTTAAAACCCACTGGGTCGCCGGCGACCCGGTGGAACTAAAGTGCGGGTAATAATTCAGAATACATAAAAATTCCACCGGTAAAATTTTTACCAGCAGGTGGAGCCATTGCACGCAGCTCCAAGCTGATACTAAAGTTCCAAAGCTCCACAGCTCTGGAACTGTTATAGCTAGAGGTATGATTTTATCTGCATTTGTGGCTGACGTAGAATAAATATATTACAATAAAACCTGCTTTTTCTCAAAAAAGACCTATAATTTCGAGAATAAAAAAAACTACTATATGTCATTTTTTAACTGATGCAGGTTGGTCGGTGTTCTAGTCACCCAATTTTAATTTATATATTAGGAAACTAAAGGGTGTTAGCTTTCAAATAATGCATTGTACATGTAATTTGGGCTTACAGTTCCTAAGTTATTTGCTTTTCCATTTGGGTATGCAAAATAGGCGAGGAATACCCAAAATAAGATGGATGTTAAAAGGTTAAAAGCATTTTAAAACACCTTTTTCCCACTCGTCCCAATAAATCAAGCAAAGCCGCACTCTCCATTGCATCAAGTGTCAAAAAAGCTTTCAACGTGCTTCTGTCTTCAGTGCACACAACTATTCTCACACAATGATGCGTTCCACGACTTTTTGGCGTATTTGGTTTGAATAGGATAAGGAATACATCAGGAAGTAAAGAGGGATGAAGGCTAAGATGTGATAGAGAGATAAGAAAGGAAAGAAGAAGGTATGAGATAAATTATGAGGGAAAAAGAAGTAGTAAAGATTATAAATGAGTCAGTTTTGGTTGAGGGATAAATGACATGGTGAAGGTGATGAAAGGTACTTCCCTACTCTCTTGTAGGAAGGAGGTAAAGATTATTGATAAATTCAAGATGAAGACTGAAGGACTTCAGGAAGAGGACAGCTGATACGTTAAAGGTAGACGGATGAAATGACGCATTTTTCCTTTTGACCCAACAGATCGAAAGCCACAAACTTAACTTCCGGGAAACCGCCAAAGCTCGCGTGGACCATGGCGCAGAAATCATCGTCACCCACTCCCCTGGGATTGAGAGGGGAGGCACCTCCCCTCGCCTGTCCTCCAGCGGCAGCATCAACATAATGGAGTCTCCCCAGCTGTCCACTCTGGCACAGGACGTCACCGCCGCCCTAGCCAAACAGGGTTTATGAGCTTTTTGGACGTCCCTCAGAACAAATCTGCGCCATTAGTCCATCCTGCTCACCATTGTCGCCCTCCCCCAACATCCAGTTTGGCTCATTCCACGCAACATGACCCCAATGCACATAACCTCAGCAGATGTAACTAATCGGCTGTGTTGTTCATCCGTTCAGATTTTAAAGACTGAATTCTCTGGTCTTTGAAGAAAAAAAAAAAGGGAAACCTCTTGGTTCATTCCACCACACAGATATAGACGTTTCTGTTTCGGATTCGATTGGCCGAAGTGGCTGCGATTGTTTGGAAAGCGTTTTTTACGATTGTATGATGAGTTTGGAAGACCACAACTCCTGAATTTATACGGTACTGAATGCGATTTAATGCTACTAGATAATTGTAAAGAGAAGGGGCATCTGGAGTCAAGAAGTGATCTCTATGTCATGTATTTGTTCTGACCCACTGCTGAACTACTTTAGTGGCGGGGCATAGAGATACTGCAACTTCTTGACTCCTGATCCCCCATCTTTGATTAACGTTGTCTTAAAGGATACAGATGTGTGTGAAACTTGAGGGAAAAACGCAAAAGAATGGCTGACAAATGGGCATGTCTGCTGAAACGTGACATCGGTTTGTCCGTACGTTTGTCCGTGTGTCGGGATTTTAATGTTTTCTTTTCTGCTGCATTTACTTTTTTACGTGAATGTTACTGTAGTGTTAAGGTTTTGTACTCCCGCCCCCGTGGCTGCTCTGTCTTATCGGCCTTTATAACCACGGCCGTTGTGTAAAATGTTGAGCAATGAACGGCTAGCTTTCTGGTAGTTTTTTTTTTTTCCTTAAAAGCTGCCTGTTTACGTTAATTTTTATATTTGCGCTGTAGTTTTTCAAGATCTCATAATACTGTTGTGCTGGCATGGCAAAAAAATAAATATTTGCTATTTGCTGATATCTTAAAACGTTTCAGTGCGAGAGTAAAATGGCCCGGATGAAATCAAAGCGAGGCCTGATGAAACCTTGCAATCTTTTTTTGGTTATTTTTCTAATAGACTGGGTGGTACAACGTGTTTGGATGGGTAAAAAAAACCCAGTTTGTTGAAGTTAAGTGTGAAGTATGAAGCTTTACATGAAAACATTCCTAATGGGGGGGGAGGATAACTTCTGTGTCGATTGTTGCTGGAAGCTGAAATTCAAAGGAATGGAAGTTAGAGTTTTTTTGTTTTTTTTTTTATTAAAATTAAGCTCTTTTAGCATATTTTACGTTACCTTTATGAAACCCTTTTTGTCAGAAGCCCCCTCCTCGTCCCTCCGCCAGTGTTACCCAATGCTTCCTCTCCCCCTTTCCTTCTTTGCTTGTGTAAGTGTATTTAAAGAACTGTAGATGTATGTGCACTATTTCCGATGTTTGAGATGTACTGATGACAAATTCTTCGACAAGATGATGACGGCATAAATAAAGAAAATAAAAACAGATTTACTTGAGTCGTTGGGATGTATTCAATAAAAATGTTTGATTGCTCTACACATAGATGGAAAAGGACAAGTAATTTGTTTTTGTTTTTGTGAGTCCTTATGGAACTAATTATTTTTCTGTGGAACATAATTTTTCTTTTCTTTAAATACATTTAAATTGTTTTGTTGTTTATCTTATCGTTTCTAAAATCCCAAACTGCTAGCTGTTTCCCAATTGGCTACTCTTTTATGAATTTAGTTTCATGCAGAAGCATTCATAGTCATAAATCTTTTGGATTTTTGTTTCACATACATTATATACATTCTTTAAAAAGCTCAAACTCAGTCAGACTAGATAGACACCATCTTTTTCTATTAGATATTTTGTTTTGCTACAAATTATATTATTATAAATCATTATATTATACAAGTTTAAGCAGAGGTGTCAAGTAACAAAGTAACAAATACTTTGTTACCTTAAGCAATAATTCTGGCTATCAATACTTAATTGGAGTAATTATTTTTTTAGACCATTTTTACCTCTGCTCCTTACATTTTTTTGCAATTATCTCTACTTTCTACTCATTAACTTTTAACAAGGGACTCATTAGTTTTGTTTCATTTAAACTCATTTTTGTTATCAGCTGTTATAAAAATAAAGGCCATCAAACAACTCGTTTCATCCAGTTAATTTCTTTGTGGTTAGACTTGGTAATGCACCAACTTGTTGTTTTCTACGTACTGAAATAAATAGTTTTTTAAGGATTTAAAGTTGAATTTGACACCTTTGCCATTATAAAACTAAGAAAATTAAGTATTCGGATATTATTATCCAGAATTACTTTTACTTTAAGGAGTTTTAAAGGTTTACTTCAGTAAAAAGCTTAGGTTGAGACTGATTTGTGTTTTTAAACAGTATGATTTATACCTGAGTAATACATGCAAATACTTTTGAAACCTCTGAGTTTAACATAATACAAGTTAAATTTCATTCAAAAATACTTACAAATCCCAAAGAGAAATAAAATATAATTTTACCTATCACAGGGCTTACTTTTTATGTGCAAATCATTGATGATAGTCTACTAATGATGAAAAAACACTTTTTAATAACTAAATAAACTTTATTCAATTCAGCTTATTTCTATAGCCCCAATCCACAACACAGTTTAACCACATCCTTTATTCAAAGTTTTCTATCTAATGAAAACCAGTTGATTTCATCGACTCATTGACTCGGATGCAATCCCTCACACTAAGCATGCTTGTAGCGACAGTGGAGAGGAAAAACTCAGGAGGAAACCCCCGACAGAACCTGCCGAGGCCGACTGGGGCTCAAGGAGTCAGAAGCAGACAAGAAAATACTGTATAAAAAAGGAGAAAAGAAGCAGATAGAAAAGGAAGCTGTAAACCAGCTCCACAGGTGTTGATGGCAGCAGCACAGCTGATATTTCTCTCCAGGATGGAGTCACAGCCAAACAGGAACAGACCAGATGAAGCTACTATGAGAAATAGCAGAGAGCATAACGTTAGAGATTGATCTAACAATTTCTGCAGAGCTGGAGAATAGAGATAGAATGAAGCAGAATGATGAAAAGTTGTCCCTATGTCCTATTTGATGGAGCTGATTGGTGCGACAAGGCATAAACAGAACTAAGCAGAACCACAAGGACACAGTTTAACCCAGACTATAAGCACAGGACTAACTAAAAGTTAACATTACAATAACTTGAAAGCTTAAAATAAATTCAATTCAGTTTATTTATAAAGCGCCAATTCACAACACGTCATCTGAACGTTTTCTAAGGAAAACCAGTTGATTGCATCGAATTATTGACTCCAATGCAATCCCTCACACTATGCATGATTGTAGCGACAGTGAAGAGGAAAAACTCCCTTTGAACAGGAAGAAACCTCCAGCAGAACCAGACTCAGTGTGAGCGGCCATCTGCTGAGGCCGACTGGGGTTCAAGGAGACGGAAGCAGAGATAGAAAAAGCAGCTGTAAAAGGCGACACCGTCCAGGAAACACACAACCAGGCAGACGAGCTCTGAGCCAGCTCCCATGTCAGAGGACGAAGAGAGCACATCCAGCCAGTCACAGTCAGAGAAACAGGACTATACTGTATAAATAAAGAAATACAACCAGGTAAAATAACAGAAAATACAAAGACCTGTAAAAAAAATTATAAACAACAAGAAAAGCTCTAAAAAAAAAACAGCAAACCAAATGAGAACACTTCTAAATTTGATCATAAACTTCTTTTATAAGCGATATATAACCATCTATGTTTTTACACTCGTGTTTCTCGTAATCATGACTTTACTGATATTGGCTACAAATATTTATCTCCTCCCTGCCAGTAAGTGGCGCACTTTCACTTGCTTGCTCTCACTCTGTAGATTTTGTGAGCCAATTTCTATGTTCACTATAGTTAACCTTTGGTTAGCGTTAGCTAACACAGCATTAGCTCACTTACTTGTCCAGAAGGAAAACATGGATGGCTTCTCAGCTTATTTGCTTCCTTAAATGTCTTCACACCAAGTTTTTGTTTTAGAGTCATGCCAAATATTAGTATAAATTTTGAGGAAAAAAATATGGTGTAAAAACATTTTGTATGTATTTCAACAGGTCCAACATATAAGGATATGCAATAAAGGATTTTGCACAAATAGCAATAGTAGATTAAAGTCACATGAGATGGAGCTCAGGTGTGCCAGCTCATAGGTTTTCTGTAATAGCTCTAAAAATGGGCTCACATTGCCTCCTTTTCTATATTGGGCCCTGTAGGGTTGGTTTGGGGCCACCCACACCTGCTATTAAGCATACTTTCCTCCTGAAGAAGCTTTGTTAATCCTTTATGCAGTACACAAGCATGCTCATGCATTTGTTTCCAGGGGTTTAAGGAAACACATTAATACTAAATACTAAGCTGCAGCTACTGATATATACCACCCTGATTAACATTGTGTAATCACAGTAGGTTCTGAATACGACAGACATAGAAAGGATCCCGTTGCTCTTGAAGCTTTTTCTTTTTAAATTGTCTTTGGTTGTCTGTTGTCTTCTTTTTGCTTTTATGCGCTCCGTTTTCTGTTCGTCTAATCTCATACAGGTATGGAAGCAGACTTCTGGGAGTAACTGAATATCTACGCTATTGTCTGTATTTGTTGTTTTGATTTGTTTTCTCTCTTTAGATACTATTTCATGTCTCTATCTCCCTCCTTCTCTCCCTTTAGTTTTTATTCCCCCTTTTTGATTACCCTTTCCATTTCCTTTGTATGTGATTTTACTCCCCAAGTAATGTTCAATAAAGTTTAATATACAAATAACAAGTAGAACCTTATGGAAACAGTCATACTGGTCTGCTTATAAAAAGCAAAGCTGTTGGGCTATTAGCTAACTGTGGAACATCAATTCCCAGAGCAATAACAGCTAAAAGGGACACATCTGAAAAAAGTTCAATAAAATAAAGAAAATAATAAAAATGGCTTCTTCAGAAAAAACAAACCAAAGGGTGCACATTAGTCAAGTTAATGCCATTGTATAGCCTGGCCAGTAAACTGTTGTTGACTCTGGCCTGATCTGGCCAGATCAATCACAAGGCGGCAGGTGCAGGACTCTCAGTGGCTAAAATTACCCATAATGCAGTAGCGCTTTTCTGTTAGCGAGCACAACAGAGCAATGTTGCAATGAAAATAAAGAACGTAGTAGAGAGATAAACCTTATGTCCTCAGATTTCTTAGGTAAAACTGGCAGAAATCATTCACTGGAGTTTCCTTAACAGCTTAACATGTTTCATGGACTATAAAATTACAAAAACAGTGTGTTACCTGACATTTGTAGTTACCTGATTGGTACTTACCTGGTTGGTACTCCCACTTTGGAAATCAAGCTGTACCAGCCGTTTACCAGAACGATATGCGATGTATATGTCGTATCAGTCTGGCTGGCCAAGTTAGCCAACTTACCTGACCACACTGTATCCTCCTTTTGCTTGTTTGTTTTGTTGTTTGCCTTGAATCAGGTAATTATTAAAAAGAGAAAAGGCCTTTTCTCAGCTTTATTACGGATCTTGCAAACCCTGAGCTCTGTTTTACATGACTTCAACCTTCAACCTACCTCCATTAACTTACTCTACAACTTAACTACATAATGGGTGGAGTGGTGTTTGCAGTTCAGTGCAGTAAGGGATGCTCTGATCTTTATTATATGTATATATTTATCTATATTGTAGAAACCTAACAACCTCTCCACATATGCACGGCCTAACACAGAGGAGCAACCTCCTCGGGACAAGACTCGGCGATACCTTATGAAAAAAGGACATTTTTTTCAGGACCAGAATGTTCACATTTTGGACAAAGAAGACAGGTGGTTTGAGAGGGGCATGAAGGTAGCCATCTATGTTAAGAAATAAAAACAGAGGGGGTGGATTAGTATTTCAGCTTTCAAAAACCTACAATGCAATGATAGAGTTGATTCCTTCCCACTATCTTCGCAACCCCAACCCCCATACAGAGGAACAGAACACCTCACCTGTTAGACAGGTCAACAATTCCCTCTAACAAACCCCCTTTCAGAGACATAACCAAGTATGGGGCATTGAAGGCTAACAAAGAACCCAAACGACTGGTCCACTCTATAAAGCCTCGAATTCAACGTTATTTCTGACATTCTGAATTAAAAAAGCTTCCTGGATGGGAAACAAAATGTCTTCAAACTTGGAAACAAAGTCCAGTGGATTGGATTGTTTTTTTTTACTTTTTTGGAAAAGTCTGAGGAACTATTTGAAATAACTCATATGTGTCCACTCTTTAGGTCACAAAGTTTGCGGTGTGCCTTTAAGGCTTTATATGTGAGAAGGAGGATTTTAAATTCTAATCTGGATTAAACAGGAAGCCAATGAAGAGAGGCCAAAGGAGAAGAAATATGATCTCCCTTTTTAAGGGTAGAACTATAGAAAAACAGCTTGCTTTTGATGTCAGACATTAGCCTTTAATCCTGGTCTGCACATATCTGCTGCATGTATCTGCCTCTGCTCCAGCACAGTGGATCAAATGACTGCATCGCCTCCTCAGTAACCATTAAGGCATTTACAAATTAACGCAACAACTTGTCCAAGTCACAGTTGTGAAAGAGCTTCTAAACATTTTTTCCTTATCTTCTGTCTCCTCTTTTACTGATGCCTTGGGCAACTGCCCCAATTATAAAAGCAATACACCAGCTTGAGCTTTATGACACTAATACATCTGAATAGAACTTAACAAATCATTAGTTACCTCATTAATCAAATACATTCTATATTTGCCCTAGTTAAAGAAATATAATAGCTTCTCTTCATTGGCTTCCTGTTAAATCCAGAATAGAATTTAAAATCCTCCTTCTCACATATAAAGCCTTAAATGGCCAAGCTCCATCTTATATCAGAGATCTGATTGTTCCTTTAGGTTCCTAACAGAGCACTTCGCTCTCAATCTGCAGGTTTACTAGTGGTTCCTAGAATTTCTAAAAATAGAATTGGAGGCTTTTATTATCAGGCTCCTCTCCTTTGGAACTGTTAGGATCCTCAGGCTTGCCCACCAGAGGGCGCCGAGGAACCTCTTTTGTTCTTTGTTTCTTTCTATTAGGACTGGAGTTACTGCTGGGATCTGGAGATTACCCTCTGTCTCCAGCAGAGTGCGCCGTGGGTCTCCTAGGGCTGGAGTCTTCCTGCACACCTGTTGTTAATCCTCTCATCAGGAGACCTCCCCTTTATAAGCTCCTGCCAGACCTTGCTTCCACGCTGTAGTGTTGATCTTAGTTGGTTAGCTTCCAGAGCCTCTGTTACAGATTGAATCTTGGTTGTCTCTAGTGTGAGATCAGATTCTAATCTCTCCTTTGTCTGTGCCTCACATGAAACCTGTCTCTGGTCTGAAGCTCAGGAAGAGCTGCCTCACTGGAACCCTGTCTCTGGTCTTAAGCTCTGGGAGAGCCTAATCACAGGAAACCAGTCTCAAGCCTGAAGTTCTAGGAGAGCTAACCTGCTAATCTGCCCTGGTGAGCCAACCTGAAGGTTCCTATGTGGAATCACCCTGAAGAATCCTATGTTGTTCTCTGCAATGAGCTGGAAGCTCAGATCAAGGTCTGCTATGCTAAGCCTGAAGCTAGACGCTTAGCTTCCCAGAACTCTGCTAACCAACAGTCTCCAGTCCCAGTCAAGACTTTAGTGAACCAGCTTTGAACCTGTTCCAGATCTAATCCTTTATCGTGTGTTTGTGAACCAATAAACTCTGTTGAACTTTTACCCCGTTTTCCGTGTGTGTTCTGCATTTTGGGCTTAACTCTAAGAACCCATCATGACAGGAACTAACTACCAGTTTTAGTCTGTGAGGCAGACACCCTGTAAACTTTAAAGGGTAGGCTTAAAACTTTCCTTTTTGATAAAGCTTATAGTTAGAGTGGCTCAGGTTACCCTGAGCTATCTCTATAGTTCTGCTGCTATAGGCTTAGACTACCGGAGGACATGTTGACCCCTTTTTCATCATTCTGCTTCATTCTATCTCTATTCTTCCACCCTGTAGAATCTGTTAGTTCAATCTCTAACGTTCTGCTCTCTCTGCCTTTTCTCATACTAGCTACATCTGGTCTGTTCCTGTTTGGCTGTGACTCCATCCTGGAGAGAAATATCAGCTGTGCTGTTGCCATTAACACTTTTTTTTTTTTTTTTTTTATAGATGTTGGAGGTCGGCCTGTTTTCCAGTGTAGTCCTGTTTCTCTGACTGTGACTGGCTGGATGTGCTCTCTTTATCCTCTGACATGGGAGCTGGCTCGGAGCTCATCTGCCTGGCTGTGTGTTTACTGGACGGGGCCGCCTTTTACAGCTGCTTTTTGTATCTCTGCTTCTGTCTCCTTGAACCCCAGTCGGCCTCAGCAGATGGCCGCTCACACTGAGCCTGGTTCTGCTGGAGGTTTCTTCCTGTTAAAAGGGAGTTTTTCCTCTCCACTGTCGCTACAAGCATGCTTAGTGTGAAAGATTGCTGAAGAGTCAATAAGTCGATGCAATCAACTGTTTTTTTCCTTAGATAGAAAACTAGGAATCAATTTCACTGTATGATCTGGTGAATTTTAAAGTGAATTGGCGCTATAGAAATAAACTGAATAGAATAATTCCTAGACTGTGGCTTCCACAAATTGAGGAGTCAGGCTTGTTGGTTGTTTTTCCAGGTCAGCATCCAACCTGTTGATGCTCACAGATGCATTGTTGTGAAAATGGGAATAAAGACGCACATTTCTAAGAAATCTCACTCAGACTAAGGTGAAAACATCATTCCTGCGGTAAATTAGCAGCAGCCTCTGTGCGCTGACCGAGGTGCTGAAAAAAAAAATCATATCGCTCTCTCTCTCTCTCTCTCTCTCTCTCTCTCCCCCAACCTTTATTCTTCCTCCTCCCCCGTCCGTCTGCTCTCCCTCTCTCTCTCTCTCTCCCACTCAATTTCTCCAGCCGCCGATCGACACTTGCAGCCATTTTACGCAGGGTGAACCCAATCATGTCGTGAGGGAAGCGGGGAGGAACAGGGTCTGCGTGGATCACCTGGAACTGCTGCTGCAGGGACCTATCCGAGGAAAATGGTGAAGAGGAAAAGCCTGGATGAAAATGAACCGGAATGCGGGAAGGGAGTACCATTCCCCATCCAGACCTTCCTCTGGAGGCAGACCAGGTTAGTGTCACACATAACAGGTGTTTCTTTTCTCCTTCTATTTTGTCATTGGTTGGATGAACCTGGTTTCGGATGTAAAGTGTTTTTTGTTTAATCAATAAAGGAGGTGATGTTTTGATCCAGGGCACCGCACCTGGATGAGATATTTGCATCAAAACAAAGTAGGGCAGCAGAAGCAGACCTCCCTGCTCTGTCTAATCTGATTTCCAATCATTTTAATGTCATTTCAGTGCTTTCCTGCGGCCAAAGTTGGGGAAACAGTATGAAGCCTCCTGTGTGGTGAGTCATTTCATGATGCTCTGTCTCTCTCTTCCTGGTTTTAATCTGTTTTTGCCTTAATGCACCTGCAGGTTGAGAGATTTTTACATTTAATAGATTAGATCTTCCATTTCCCTTTTTTCTAATACCCAGGAGCTGTATGGAGTGCATTTTGTTCCAATATTGTTGCAAAGAACACGTTGTAAATGGAAGTAAAAAAAAAAAAAAAACATGCGATTCAGAAATAAAACTTTGATTGAATTTTTTTCTTTCAAATTTTTTTTGAGCACCATTAAAATATATATTTTTTACTGATTTTTACTGTATCCTGATATTGACAGTTAGATTTTATAATTAGTTTTTTTTATTCAATTAAAAAAACAAACAAAAAAAAGTTTTTCATATATTTATTTGAATTTTTTTTTATTTATATATAATTTCTGTTTTCCAGGTTGAATTTTACAGATTGCATTCTTTTAAAAAAAGCATTTTACAGATCATATTCTCTCTCCTCAAAGCCCAACACTGCCTCTTGACACACACATTGACTAATACAATGTTGTTGCTAATGTTCTTTACTCCCAGAGTTGAAGAAAAAGGTATCTGTAAAATGCAATTATGAATAAATGCAATTTGTAAAACTGAATCTGAAAAACAGAAATAAAAAAAGCCCTTTTTACTTAAAAATCTGAGAAAACAGAGAAGTTGCTCTCAAAATTTTTGTATTTATTTCTGTATTGTATTTGTTTTTCAATTTTTTTCTATTTACAAAACTAGTTAGTTGCTTGGAACAATGATGGATCAAAATTCACTCCATACAATAAGAGCTTCTCTAAGCTCAAATCCATAAATATGCCTTCCTCCAGCTCCTGCCTGTCCCAAGGGCATTTCCTCTTCAGAAAGTCAAAGAAAGGCTTCTTTAGTTCCTGATTTCTTTTTTTTCTGTTTCTGGATGCCTTCCCAGTCCTTTGAGCGGGTGCTGGTGGAGAACAAGCTGCACGGTCTGTCACCAGCGCTGTCAGAGGCCATCCAGAGCATCTCCCGCTGGGAGCTGGTCCAGGCCGCCCTGCCTCACGTCCTCCACTGCACCTCCATCCTGCTGTCCAACAGGAACAAACTGGGTGAGACACGCAGAGACAATGTATTTTTTTCTGTCATTCAGAAATGTATGGAGGGAATTGTGTTCCATTCTTGTTGCAAGCAAAGAGTATATTTTGCTAATGGACATTTGAAGAAAACGCAATCCAGAAATGACACTGCAAATTGATTATTGAAAATATTTATTTGAATAAATTTTTCATTTCTCTATTTTTTCCACATATAAATGCATCTTCAGTTATCACACCTAATGAAAAACTGCAACCACAACTATGTACTATATATCTATACTATAAAAGCTACAATTGGAAAAAAGTTTTCAGTTTATGGATTGTATTTTTCTTATTTCAATTGCTAAACTGCTGAATCCCTTTGTGGCGAGCATTATAACCAGAAGTAAATATTTAAAGATTTTGGAGCAGTCAAAATGTATGAAGCATGTATATAAATACTATATATATATATTTTTTTTTTTTTTTTTGAGGAAATGTGATAGTTTTATTCTGCACCAATCAAGATGTTCGTTAGATGTAAAAATCCACAGATTTTTGAAAAATCAGTCATTTTGATAATGTTTTGCACCTATGACCTTGAATTGAGCCACAGAGGTCAATTTCACTGTTTTTTAAAGACAGAGCACCTATGGGTGTGGTGGTGGAAGCATGGGCTCACCTTAACCCAAAATAACCAAGTTGCCTCACCTTTGGTGATGCTTTCTTTTTTGCTAATAAATGTTTCTTTCTCTGTTGAACCTCCAACAGGCCACCAGGATAAGCTAGGTGTGGCTGAGACCAAGCTGCTGCA